GGGGGGGGGGGGGCAGCGCGGCCCCGCCCGCCCGCGCCGGGAGCGCGCACGGGGCGGGGCGCGCCGGGAGCGCGCGCGGGAGAGCCGCGGGAGCCGTGAGGGGAGCGGAGCGGGAGCGCGCACGGGAGAATCGAAAATAAAACTTGTAGGTTGAGATAAGAACAGTTTAATAATTGAAAACAAAGTAAAATGCAATAATAATGGTAAATAATAATAATTATGATAATAAAAAGGGAAAAGAACAAATAAAAACCCCAATACAACTGCTCACCACTCGCTGACTGAAGCCAAGCCCTCCACCCTTCCCGAAGCCAGGTCGGCCCCTTCTAGGTAGCTCCCCCAGTTTATATATTTGGCATGACATTCCATGGTGTGGAATAATATCCCTTTGGCCAGTTCGGGTCACCTGTCCCGGCTGTGCTCCCTCCCAGTTTGTTTCACCTCACTGGCAGAGCATGAGACACAAATAAGAAAAAAAGAGTTCTTGACTTAGGATAAACACAACTTAGCAAGAACCAAAACATCAATGTGTTATCAACACCATTCTCATTCTGAACCCAAAACACAGCACCAAGCCAGCTATTGAGAAGAAATGAACACTGTCCCAGCTGAAACCAGGTCAGAGGGACACCAGGTGTGTCTGTGTGTGTTGGGGGCAGCCGTGTGTGAGGAATGGGAAGTGGTGGGTGTGTGCACACACGTGTGTGTCCATGTGAAGGACAAGGGAGTGGAAACACTTTTGTGAGCAGAGGTTGTGTATGTTCCAAAGGACCATGGCAAGGTGAGTGTGTGGATGTGTGGGAAAAAGTGTGCCCAGAGCTGGGGGAATTCTTGTGCTGTTGGCAATTATCCATATGTGTCTCTGTGCCCAAGTAGTTTGTGCCCACGTGTGTGAATTCCCCCCAAACCCAACAAAACAAGAGCAGCTGCATCAGGACCCCAGCAGAGCTGCTGGGGTGGAATTCCTGCAGCCTGTCCAGCTCTGCACATAAATCTTGGCTCTGCACTCGTTGTGCATGAATATATGAATATATGTGACCTTGAACTGCCCACCAGCAGGGTAGGCCCTGGATGTACAGCCATATATGGTTGGATATTCTCCATATTTTCTCTATAAATCCATATGGAAGATGATGATGGCATGTGCCACAGTCACTGGCCTGTGATGCTACCTCTGAAAGATGCACACCAGCTCAGGTGAACACTGTGTGCACTGTCAGACATGCATGGACACTCCCACACAACTAATGAGCACAAAAAGGTTTGGCAGCTGGGGATCTGCCCATGAGCAGGACATGGTCCCTGTGAATTGTACATAGGAACAGCCAAATAAGATTTATCTCACATCCAGATATGTGCACATAGTGTCTTTTCTGTATCTGTAATGGAAATAAGATACTTTACAAAACACTTAAAAATGAAGAAACAGAAACTTGATTTTTTTGATGCAGCCAACAGAAAAGGGCAATTAAAGTTTCCAAAAGTTAGAGATAATAATTTGCGCAGTCAACAGAAGTTCTATACACAGCCCAGAGAACTATTTCACACCTTCACCAAAATCAAATACAGTGTCAAGCTGCAAGCTGGTGGCTCTATGTACCCTCAAGGTGATTCTGTGGTGTGTGAGGACAGGGAGGATGGATCTACATGCACTTAGCTACTCCTAAAGCACTGGATAAGGAAGTGCAACATAGCCTGGAGGGAAATATTTTTAGGAGAGCTCATTAGTTCTTAGTCAAAGTTAAACCCAAAGACAACCAGTTTTAAATGGGCATTTAGAAGTGGAAAGCCTGGTGCAGAGGGAGATTTAGCTCTACCAGCAGTGATGGAGGAAGGCCCTGCAGTGGGGAGGAGGAGGCTGCTGTGTCCCACCAGTGTGGGGTGGGTGTGAGCAATGCCCCCAGCAGCTGCACAAAGCCAGGCTGAGCTCAAATGCAATGTCTGGCAGACATAGACCCAGAGAACAAGCCCTCTCCTGTTCATGGCTTTCCTTTCATTTTATCTCATATGCATCCATCTTTTTATATAAAATGTGCACTCTTAATTTAGGATCCCGTTAGGTGACGAACTAGTCTGAGAAGATGATTCAGTTAGAACCTGTGCCAAAAGAGAAATGCATTTGCCATCTGAATCATCTTGGCAGGAAAGACGGATGTTAATTCAATATGGATCCCTAATAACTGAACACAGATGAAGGAAAACCCCCAGCTGTGTTGTTGCAAAGGAAGTGTTTTTATAGGCCTTAAGATGTGACATCCATAGAACAGAAATACATACCTGTATTCCGTGTAAGGAAAACCTGTTGGAAGCCAAGGGATAAAAATACATTCATTCAGAAACAAAACTGAAATAGTCCCTGAGCATTTATTCCATGTCCTCTTGGTTTCTCTGAAGTTTTCCTTTCTGAGATGTTTCAGCCTGCAAATGTCACCCTGATTTGTCATCCTTTGAAAGGCTGCTCTGCCCCTTGCCAGGTGAACAGCACTGAGCTGCCCCAGTTTCTCCATGTTCAAAATGGGAATGTGAGCATGGTAATTATGTGTCATTAATATCTGCAAAGTTCTTTAAAAAATCCTGAAGAGAAAGATGCAATGTAATCGAGTTAATCATAGCTCAGCAAATCCTCTTTGCAGAGTTGGGCTGGAGGAAGCTCTGGCCCTGATCACAACTCCTGAACTTTGGAGATGGCCAGAAATTCAAATTCCCAGTCCATCAAAGTGCAAACACAGGGCTCTCAAATATGAGCATTTTACAGTAAAATATTTATGCATCCCCAAAATCAGAGATGCCAAAAAGCTCTGATATAACATGCAGTGGTCCGTAAGGCCCTGTGTTGTCCATGGCTTGTGCCTCTAATGTTATTATGTGCTTCATGCAGTTACAGCTTTCTGTGGGAACTGCGGCATCTTTTCAAAGACTGGCTCTAAGCAACCACCACAGGGGCGGATATAACATCCATGGGGAAACTGGATAAAACCCAGATTTCTTGACTCCCATGATTTGACAGGATTGGGTGGAAAATCCAGCAAGCAGACTCCAGATCTGAGGACCTCTGAGTCCTGGACTTCTGTTTGAAGACCTCTGTCCCTTTGTGGCTTATTCCTTAGCCATACGGTCAAGCTTTGCAGAGCAGGGAACTCTGCACGGGTGGATTTGCCTGGATTTGATGGGATGCAATCATCTGTTGGGATTGGCAGGACCTTGTTGCTAAGTGCAGGGCAGCAGGCTGGCCAGTCTGTCTCAGGACCAGCTGAGGAACTGCCCTGATCCCACACCACATCACCCCGTGTGCCCTTCGTGGGCTGGCCTGGCTGCACCGGAGATGTCCCACATTGTTTGCACGCAGGATCTCCCAAGTGGCTGCAAAGCCTGGACAGTGAAACACTCACAGGGGAAGGAGGGCTCCCAGCAGCACCACCGACAGCAGCAGGACCTGCCTGCCACTGCCAGCTCTGGGCTCTTCTTTCCATGCTGTCGGGGACAGAGAGAGAGACCAGGTAAGAGGGCGTGTGGAGACTGGTGTGTGCTTGGTGGAGGGGCCACGTGTACTTTAGAAGGCCCATGCTAATTAGTTAAGGGGAGATGAGTGCAGGTCAATATTAGGCAGAGTTTAGGGCAAGGCTGGTCCTGTCCTGTGTCTGCCTCAGATGATCTGTCTCCCTACCCCGTGCTTTCTGTGATCTTGGGTTTACTCTCCAGGGTCTACTTGGGGCAGAGACAGAGATTTTCCAGGACATTAGAGGCAGTGCATCTTCCCACTCTTGCTGGCTCTTGGTTTTCCAGGTGCCTCTCTCCTTATTTTTCTTTTGCTTGCCTTGTTTTTTAAAGAGCACAGATTCCTCACACACGGCTGCAGAGCTGGAAGCAGGAAGGTTTAATCACCTCTCCCACGTCACTGCACATGGAGGTTGTTTCTCTTTGCTGTGCATCTCTAATATCAACAAGCACAGCTGGCCTGGTTTTGATTCCGGTAATGCAGATCTAAATCCAGGCACCCTCCACCCTATAAAGCCAAAGGAGCTACTATTAATTAGATCAGCGGGGCTGAGATAGGAATCCAGGATTAGCTTCCCATTCACCCCGCCGGGAAGGAGAGCACACTGGAGAGGCTGTGCCTCCTTGCAAGCAGGCAGCACACAGGTTGTCAGACAAGTTCCCTGCTCACAGTGTGCAAGGGAGGGCAGGGAAAGTTACTGTGCAGAGTCTGTCCCAGAGCTTGGTGGGGAACAAGAGCCAGGATGAAACTCAACCAAAATATTAAAATCCGAAGAGTGATGTGAGCTCTCCCCAGTTCAAAAGGGAAGATTTTAAAAATCAGAACCAGATGTATGTGAGTACAGAGAGAGACCTCTCTACTGATCCTTTTTTCATTGCTCTGCTATCAGACATCCCACTGGAGAAGCATCAGTTAAAACCCTCACAAGCTGATCCCGCTCAGTGGCACCATCCAAGCCAACATTCCTCCTGCAGGGCTGTTCTTGAGCGCTGCCTTTGGTCCCTTTGCTGCACTTTACCCACAGCCTCTAAGATAATTAGCAGTCATCAGATGAGAATTAATTTTTAACAAACTTCTCCCTGCGTGGGAGAGGG